CTGGAGCACACGTCTTATGAGGAGCGGCTGAGGGAACTGGAGGTGTTCAGCCTGGAGAAAAGGAGGCCGAGGGGAGACCTTCTCGCTCTCTACAACTACCTGAAAGGAGGGTGTAGCAAGGTGGGGGTCGGTCTCTTCTCCCAAGGAACAAGTGATAGGACAAGAGGCAATGGCCTCAAGTTGCGCCAGGGGAGGTTTAGGATGGATATTAGGAAAAAGTTCTTCACTGAAAGGGTTATCAAGCACTGGAACAGGCTGCCCAGGGAAGTAGTGGAATCGCCATCCCTGGAGGTATTTAAAAGATATGTAAATGTGGTGCAGAGGGACATGGTTTAGTGGTGGTTTTGGCAGTGTTAGGTTGACAGTTGGACTTGATGATCTTAAAGGTCCCTTCCAACTTAGACGATGATCTTAACGGTCCCTTCCAACCCAGACGATTCTATGATTCTACGATCTAGTGCCTTCACCCATTACTGAATTTGCCATCAGTGTAAGGGCTGTACCTCCTGCTGCCACCTCTGTGTTCCTCTCTGGACACGACTCGCCTAAAGAATGTGCTTGGCTGAGTGATTAGAGGGGGGAAAAAAATCATCAGAAAGGGATGTATGGTGTGTAGTGGGAACAAGGACACATTGTGAACCTACAGGTGTTTTCCTGCCCCTTGCAGGGGGAAGGAGCCCTTTGGGGATGGAGCGGGTGGCTGACAAGGGACTTGCTTGGCAGAGCTCTCCAGCTTGACGGGGACCTGCACTGGTCTGCGCTCCACCGCTTCACTGTGCATACCGCTGTGTTTCAAAGCTGTCTGTGTTTAACGTTCATGCTGTGCTCTCAAGTTAGCCGTGTCTGAACTGAAGACAGTCCTCAGAAGTCCATATTAAGCGACATTAAAAGCTGAAACAGGCTGCTCAGGCATGTACTTTGATAGATTTTCTGACCGTGTGTAGCATAACATACAGCAGGAAAAAAAAGTCACAGCCTTCACTCTGAGCGTGTTTTGTGCCGTGAGCGACAGGGACGGTGCGGCTGAGACGAGCTCGTGCAGACAGCGACCTGTGGCTGCTCTGTGGGAATGCAGAAACTTCCATTAACCCCTCCTGACTGCATTGTAGCCGCGGAAGATGCAAGGATCGTGCCATCCCTTATACCTGGCAAATCTAAATGGGGAATCTGAAGAAAGGGTATGGTTAGGTAATAAATTATGGGCTAGAGAGGTTAAGTTATAGATCCTTTTATTCCTTGCCGTTAGATAGATGTTTATTATCTTATTTGTAGTTATTTTGAACTTGTTTTGGTAGAA